AAGCCAGTCCTTTGCAGCTTTCTTTCATGCCACGACACCATGTCATGCACTGACCACCTCTCCGCTTTCTCCAACCAGTCCCAGAGTCGGTAAATAATGCACGACGTGGAATTCTCTGGGACGACATTCGTAGAACATGTCCAAGCCACCGAAGTCGGTGTTTCAAGATGGTGACACCAATTGAATTATCATCTCTGTGCCCGAACACACGATGCTGAACCTATGCATTACTAACATGGTGTTGCCACTGAATGTCAGCAATCCTTCGGAGACAGCGATGATCGAATACAGAGAGTCGTCTAACGTCCTCAACTCGGAGAGACCAGGTTTCACAAGCATAGAGCAAAACTGCTCTCACAGACGCGTTGTAGGTCCGACCTTTTACAGCCAGACTAACATCACGAAGGCGTCAAAGGTGGCCCAGATTGGCATAAGCCGCTCTGGCTTTCACTATACGTGCATTGATCTCATCACCCACACGCCCACCAGCACTTATGCAGCTACCCAGATACACGAACTTCTCGACTACGTCTATCCGCTCACCATCCAGGGTGAGTACATGATTGGAATCCTGCCAGTCTTGTAGAAGTACTTTGCACTTGGAAGGTGCAAAGCACATACCATACCTACGGACACTGATTGCCAACTGGTTAAGTGCGGATTGCATGCCTTGGGCATTATCGCACAGTAAGACAATATCATCCGCATACTCAAGGTCGAGAAGTCTTTCTCCAGGCAACAGATCCACACCACCATTACTTACATTCATCAGAGCTGTTTCCAGAATGTCATCGATGGCAAAGTTGAAGAGGAATGGTGAGATTGGGCAACCCTACCTAACCCCACTGCTCGAATGGAACAATGGAGAGAGGTGGTTGTATGCCCTCACTCTACCTGAGGTGTTTGTGTATAGGGCTTTTAGGATGTTAATAAACTTCTCAGGCACACCCTTCTTCAATAGACAATCCCAGAGGACAGTCCAGTCCAACGAATCGAAGGCAGCCCTGATATCAAGAAACACTACGATTGTTGGCCTTTGATAAGTTTGGCGGTGTTCTAACATTTGGCGGAGGGTAAGGATATGATCAATACATCCTCGACCAGAACGAAACCCAGCCTGCTCCTCGCGAGTCAATCTTTTTCGGGTTTTGAACAGTCTACGAAGAATGACGGAAGCCAATAGCTTGGACGCAATCGGAAGTAGACTTATCCCCCGATAGTTGTTACAGGAACGACGTGAACCCTTATTAAAGATAGGGACAACTATCGACTCATTCCATGACGTTGGTACACTCTCTAGTTCCCAGACCTTCGTAAACAACGTCGTCAGAAAGTCACCATCTTTACAAAGAGCCGGAGGTAAGTCATCTGGGCCAGGTGATTTGTATCGCTTCAAGAGTTGGAGTTCCTTGCGGACTTCCTCCTCGTTTGGTGGATCAGTCCTCACCGGCCATGGAGGGCAGGACAGTCTGACCGATGTTGCCGGAGCAGCAGGCCAGTTGAACTGCCCTTCGAAAAATTCTGCCCATCGTCCAAGACGTCGATGGATGTTAGTGATTGGCATCCAATCATCCTCGTAGATTGTTTCACTCACACCAGACTTCTTGCTGTCAGTGGCTCGGATGAGTTGGAAGAGCTTCCGGTAGTTACCAGATGCAGCTGCTGCTTCCAGCTCATTAGCACGCTTCGACCACCAGGCTTCTCGGTCCTTACGCAAGCCTTGCCCAATTTCCTTACGTAACATCCTTCGTTTGTGGTCAAACTCACGGTCATCCAGAGTAGACCGACGGGTTGTAAGGAACCTGAAGAAACCCAGTGCTTATAAGCGGGATGTTTCACGAAGCCGTGAGCGGACTTACTTGCCATTTTCATAGCGTCATGCGATTGCAACCAATGCTCCTCTATACTTTTCGATGGAACGGTAGCTAGCCTAGAAACTAGCTCGGTTCGATACCTACTAGCAACAGAAGTTGCAACCAGCTTGCTAACATCAATCCGTTGGTGGCGGTCACTTCGTTGGCCACTGAAAAGTAAGGCAAGATTGACGCAGACCAAGGCATGATCAGAGTCGAGATAGGTACTCCAAAAGGAGCGGCAGTCTTGTACACAACCACGCCAGCGGTAGCTGATCGCGATGTGATCAATCTGAGTCCAGGCTTGGGATGCAGAGGGAGGACACCAGGTGGCACATCGGCGATGACTGTGCCGAAAGTTAGTGCTAGCCAGAAACAGGTTGTTGTCTATGCACAGTTGCAGTAGACAGTTCCCGTTATCTGTCCTGCGACCAACAAGTCCCCATCCGCCACCTAAACGACTCTCTTCTCTGCCTAGACGCCCGACCTGAGCATTCAAGTCTCAGGCTAGTACTACAATATCTGTCGAATGCACTTTCTGGAAAAGAACAGATAACTGGTGGTTAAACTCATCCTTCATTGCATCCGGGCTGCAATCTGTCGGGGCGTAGGCGGAGATGACGAAAAGACATCGTTTCTCACGCCGATTTCTTCTCAATTTGATGGAACTTTCTAATCCAACAGCACATAACCGACTGTTAATGGGGATCCAATCGATTAGTGCTGTCTCAGCTCTAGCGCTTAGTGCGACACCAATGCCAGCAAGACCAGGCGAAGATGCCACAGGGTCCCTGGATAAGCGCACGTAAAACAAGCTTTTTGAAGTGACAGATGGAGATCGAATTTCTAGTACTTCGCCAGAGTCTTGAATACGGGTCTCGGATAGACAGCAGACATTGATATGAAGACTTTCCAAAGACATAGCCAGCCCTATCTGTTGACCAACCTGCATAAGTGTGCGAACGTTGAAGGCAGCCAGTTTGAATGGCGCACGTGGTTTCAGAAAAACTGCTTCAGTACTCATATTTGGTGGTAACATACAATTTTCAACCGGACAGTGACTCGAGAACGCTTAGATAGAGTCGAATTTCCACCAAAGACGAGCCGCTGTATAAATACAAAAGACGGTGAATAATGTGGAAAATAATAATAATAATAGTAATAATAATGACAATAATAGCAATAATAATAATAGTATTAATAATGACAATAGTTGTAATGATAATAATTTGAATCAATTGATTGTTTTTCGAAGCGAGAAAAGTAGTTTCCATAGACATAGAGAGTTCATCATTTGTGTGTGGGCCGTGATACTGCTCGGGTGCCCAAACCGAAGCAGGTGGTTATCTTAGGGGGCCACTCCCCGAGCCTTTGACCTAAAGGTCTAACCCACAAGGCAGTGGAGCATCGTAAGATGCGATCCCATGGTAGCCGCTGACCAACGATTGGTTCATACGTCATTTGTTCCTTCAGGATACTGGAGCCCCTGTGCACCATTGGTTTGTGATCCGGTTAAAGCGCCGGACATTCGCTTTTCGTCCTCTCATTTTCGTAAACAACACCCCCGCCACGAGAAGGCAATGAGTAGGACTTCCCTGTCAGAGGCTTTATACGCGTGGCGATGTGAGGGCATTTCGAGAGGGAGAGCTGACTCTCCCCACTCTCGGCCGTACCAGGGCGTAATATCGATGCCAACTCGCTGATGAGGACCTTCTGTCGTCATTGGACCTAAGGGTGCGCGGTGTATTTGTCGAGGTGACTTGATAGCATAGCACGTGCTACAATTTTTGCAGAATTCGGCAACGTCTGCATGTATGGATGACCACCAAAACCTCTGGCAGATAGTATGTTTAGTCTTCCGTTTTCCTGAGTGCCCCAGTTCTCGGTCTACCTGCTCCATAATATTCTGAACCTGTATACGTGGTACTATCAGTAGTGGCTGTTTTGATTCGCTGACTATAAATAACGTGTCTTCATACAATCTTAGACTGCTCCACTTGGCACACAGACGGCGCGTCGCCAAGGAATGATCCTTCAACTCTGTCATAGATGGTTTATTACTGCCATGTAGTTGCCTCTGGTAAATAAATCGCAGATCAGGGTCTGCTGCTTGAAGCGACGGCCAGTCGGTATCGGGGGCTGTGCTAAGAACGGCTTAATGGTGTTAGGAGAATAGGGTATACCAGATAGGGAATCGGCGTTTGTGTGTCGGCTTCCGGGTCGGTGTTCGCAAGTAAAATCAAATTTCTGCAACCTCTCCTACCAGAGCGCTACCTGACCTTCTGGTTCACGGAACGAACGAAGCCACTGTAGTGCACGGTGGTCTGTGCCTACACAAAAGGGTCGTCCTAAGAGATAGTGACGAAAATGTTGCAAAAATTTTACCAAAGCCAGCATCTCTCGGCGCGTCGTAGAATACCATGTCTCTCTTTTATCTAACCGCCGACTAGCGTACGCTATGATCCGTTCCTTTCCGTCTTGTGCTATTTGAGACAGGACTGCTCCAATAGCTGATGAGCTAGCGTCTGTATCAAGTATGAACTCACCCGCTTTAGCCGAAAGTCCGGAAAAGCCAGTACGGGCGGAGCATCAAGAAATGACTTAAAAGTGTTAAATGCGTGTTGGCATTCTGTGGTCCACAAAACGTTTCGTCCTTTATGCGTCAGGCGATGTAAAGGTGCTGCCAGGGATGCGAAATCGCGTACGAAACGTCTGTAATAAGAAGCGAGCCCCAGGAAACTGCGAACATCCTCGGCAGATTTCGGTTGTGGCCAGTTAATAATGGCGCTCGTTTTTCCTTATCCGTTGCTACTCCATCTTCCGTAATGCGATGCCCCAAAACGAGTACTTCTTTTTGTAAGAGTCGACATTTAGATGGTTTTACTTTTAAGTTGTCCTGCTTAATACGTTGTAGAAAAGACCTTAAATTGGCATTATGCTGTTCCGGCGAGCTGCCATACACAATATTATCATCCAGGTAAATTAAGCACTTGTGTGGTACGAGGCCATATAGAACTGTCTGCATCAATCTTTGGAAGATGGCTGGGGCATTAGTTAGCCCGAAGGGCATCACTTGAAATTCATATAGACCATTGGGTACTATGAACGTGGTTTTTTTCTATCTTGAGGTCGAACCTCCACTTGCCATTACCCTGATGCTAAGTCTAGAGTCGAGAACCAGCGAGCGTCTTTCATAGCATCTAATGTAGCATCAATCCGTGGAAGTGGAAAACAATCGCGTTTGGTTATAGCATTAAAGCGTCTGTAGTCTACACACAGTCGTAGGGAGGAGTCTTTCTTTTTCACTAAAGCAATAGGCGATGCCCAGGGTGATGAAGATGGTACAATAATCTTTTTTTCTAGCATATCTTTTGTCATCGATTCCAACTGAGGCTGATAATGTACTGGTACTCTACGAGGTGGTTGGCGTAATGGCATATGGTCACCTGTGAGAATGGAGTGTTGTACAGTGGTCGTCCGATTTCCGGAGATATTCTCCGAAAAGACAGAACTAAATTGTTGGAGTACGTCAATGGTTGCTCGACGGTCCTTTTCGCTTATTACTTGGTTATCTTGTACCTGACGTACAATCTCTGCAATTCCCACCTGGGCTACGGTTTCGGTTGGCATTTCCTGGCGTTGTAGTTGCACGACAACCCCGCCAATTTTAGCTTCCGACTCACTCATGTCTATAGAGACCTGATATCTTAACATGAAGTCAACCCCGAGTATCATGTTTCAGGTCAGTGTGGGGCAAACCAGGAATTCATGTCGAAAAGAGTTCTTGTTTATTGTTAGCTCTAACCCTATCTTAGAACACGCAGTCAAGGTGTCTCCGCTCGCCATGATTAATGTAGAGGAGTACTGTTTACGCTGAGTGCTGTAGTTAAGTCTCTGCAAGAAGTCTTCCTTAATAAGAGATACTGAAGCTCCTGTGTCTAGAAGTATGTCTAGCTCGATGTCTTGTACTCTACCTTTAAACGTAGTTGGATTGACGTGATTAACATAGGACGATAAATAACCAAAAAGGCCGCTCACATGGTTTACGGGGGCGGTTGTGACCGCATCTTCTGGCGTTTCTGCCAAACCTTAAGCAATATATACAGTAGGCTTGACTCCCACTGTAGTTTCCCCATGCTGGTTGTTTATTCCACCTCGAATTTGACTGTCCGCATTTAGCACCTCGGCCGGAAAGGTCGGACACAGCCATTGCAGTCTGGCAGCTGTCCAGGCCACTAGATTTTGTAGCTCGTTCCACAGTCGTTACTGATGATGAATGTGCACTGGATAAATTCACTAGTTTGTCAGCTGGCAGGAAGCGTAATGTTGTTCTTTTTACGTCAGACGTATCGGTTGGTGGATTTCGAGGAAAGTGTTCTTTAAGTGGTCCGGGCAACAGGCCTTTGACAAAACGTGAGCGTAATAATTCCTCTCGTCCCATCGTAGCTAAATGAGGGAATGCTTGTACTGCGACTTGCTGCAGGCAATGAAGATAGTCTATTGGACTCTCGCTTGCTTTCTGGTGGCGTGATAAAAACTGAATTGTCACCTGCTGGGTGTCTACGGGCATGGAAGAACAGTTGTCTAGAATTCTCCAGTTTTGTGAGAGCGCGTTACTGGCCGCAAAACCATTTGCTGTAGCCCTGCGTACCGCTTCATCGCTCGGATAAGAAACGAGATAGTTGAAATGTTCGGTCAATTGAACTCTCTGAAGGTACACTGTGACTTTAAATTTCCAAACGGAGTAATCTGACGACGTTTCAAGCAATGTTGGCTGGCGTGGGGTTGAACCGGGAGCAGCCCTGATTGGAATCAGAGGGGGTTCGTCTAGATTCTCCTCGCGTTTTTCCGTCGGAACCTCCACCACCATTTGTAGCATGTACTGTCAACGTTGATCTGCGAGAAGAAGCGATCTGAAACACAACACAACAGTCAGGACTGGCAGATGCCACTCAAGTGAGAACACGGTGTACGAGCACAACATAGATATATTTTAAAATTGAATTACGCGGTTTAAGTACAAAAACGGGAAGTCTATTACAAAATGGTTTTGCTCAGCATCCAGCAGGTTAAGTTTGCGCAAGCTTTGTTCTTCTTCTTCTAGTACGTTCACTTTCTGTTGTCCTGCAATAAGGAAACACAAACTTGCATTAGTAAAGCCACACGTAATGATTTTTGAAACTGTCACAATCATACATACAAGGGACGCGCCAACTTTTCAATCTTCAATGTAGTCTGTCATCGGATTCGAACGGTTCAAATAATTGTAGAAAGAATATAAGAAACCCTCGCTTAACGAGCTTCTATATCTAGTAGCAGTGGATTACTGATCCTCAAGATAAGAACCCATGTATATTTGACGATACATAAGAAAAATTATTAATCATTTATGTTGAAATACTGCCCTTGGTCTTTGAAAATGTGTTTAGTTATCTCTTAAAGGACTCCTGAGGAGTCGCTTGAACTAACTCGGCCGTCACTGAACTACAATATTTAACTACTCTTAAGGAGTAGAATGTATGCCTACAGTCCATCCTAATGCGTTATGTCTCCAGTTTCTGGGTTTTACCCCTAAGGTTTGTGTTTGGACTAAGCTTAGGTAGTTGTTTAACGGGATGCTCGGAACTGCTTAATATGTTATAAGTCAATAGAAAGCCACGTTTAAGGCGCCTGCACACTAATGGGTAAAGTTTCAATGACTGGAGGAGCTCTTCGTAAGACTTGAGTTTGAGTCCCCGAACTAATTTCGTGGCTCGCCGTCGAATACATTCCAGAGTGTCCTTATCCTTTTGAAGTGAAGAAGGAAATACTATGTTTCCGTACTCTAAATGTGGACCAATAAAACGATTGAAGATTACTTAAAAGACTCTCCCGTCGAACTAGACAAAAAATGCGCTTCAAATTTATCAGTGAAAGGTTTGCTCGGAAGGCATTTTTGTCGTAGTTGGCGTAAGATTTCAGATCATACGGTACCAACACGCCTGGATCGTTTTCAACTCGTGATGCCCTAGAGGAGAGTTGGCCATGTTGTATTCGTGGTCTGTAACATGTATCGGATGGACCATTTCACACTTTGGAATGTTAAACGTAGATATGTTGTAATCTGTCCAACTTTGGAGTCGAGTCGGATCCTCCTGAAGTGCCAGTTTGTCCTCCTGTTTACGTACCTCTCCCCATAGTTTCACATTGCCAGCGTAAAGTAATGCATCAAACAATACCTGCTGTGGAAATCGTTCATATAAACCAAGAAAAAAAGAGGATCTGGGGATCCTACCAGGACATTCCATAGCCTGAGAAAGTGAAGTTAACCCTGACCTTAAAGTTTCGAATTTTTAGATATGAAGTGAGCCAATCACTTAATGATTATTTGGCACCTAATCGCTTGAGTTTAGTAATAAGATGTATATAGTTGACACTATCAAAAGCTTCTCAGAAGTCAAAATATATGACATCAACCTTCCCCTTGAGATCAAGTGTGGTTGTCCATCAGTCCACTGCAATCAGCAGGTTGATTACACAAGAGTGACCTTTTCTGAAATCGTACCGTTGAGGTGAAACGAAGTTTAGTAAGTAGTCGTGTAAACTATCGCACATCTGGGACTCCATAATTTTGAGGATGTAGAGAGAAGTGTTACCGGACATTAGGTGAAGGTTCGCCGAGTCCACCTCCTTTGAAAATTGGTGTGTAGTGAGCCAGCTTCCAATTTTTCGGTAATTTGTCTTGGCTTAGCGAATATGAGAACATCATCCCGAGTGGTGTTGACTAGATTGATGCTGCTTCACTTAGCATAGCAGGATGGACTATATCCAGGCCAGGAGAAAAGTCATTTTTAGGTGCTGCATTTTCCGGTACACCTGTGGATCACCAATGTAGATGATCTATGTTGAATGGTTGGAGGCATCCTCGAGTTGGACGGGAATGGTGTGACGAACCAGCTAACTTAGAAGTTACACCTCCTGGTCAGTATCACACGTGGATTACCCCTTCCACGTATCAAGGTACTATGGCTACTTTAAAAACCGCACAACATAAACGAAGTTACTACAGAAATACATCGGTAAAAATAAGTGCAGTGAAGATAATAATAATTCTCAAATAACGGTTTGTTACAAGAAGCATGCCAATTTACAGGCAAGATCAAATTGTTACAAATGACACAGTATCTACTGTAGTAAATTACTCGGCTGGGTTGATAATTTATGAGGTATGAATGTAGATGGTTTTAGTCAGTATCACGGTTGGCGCGCTTCATGAAAGTCGCATCGCAAATGGTCAAGGATAGATCCATTGAAGGTGGGAGCTTCTAGGAATCGCAACCTTATGTCCTTTTGGAATATCTGAGGCTTTAAGGATGGTGCAGGATGAAGTCACCCGTTCCATATCTCAAGGGGACTGAAAGAGGGAGCAAGTAAAAGAAAGGACGAGAGGCAGAGTAGCCAATATTCATGAAGGAATGTTTAAGGTATGATTACTCAATCTAATTTTCTTTTATTAAGGTATTCGTTAAGCAAGAGCATTTTAATAAGTTAAAGAAAATAGGTGTAAACAAGGTATGAGTGGACATACAACTGACAAATGGAGGCGATTCGGAAAGGAGCTGAGAGTATAGGATTATGTGTTGTTATGAAATATAGTGCTACAAACAGTAATGTGGTTGACTAGCTTCTTTTTTTATCGAAGCTGTTGAAGCCCTTTTCATTTCTTTGTGTTATTATTTTTTTAGGTATCATAGGGTTTTGAGTAGGCTTCGTATATTAGCGAATTGTCTAGTTTGCCTGTAATAGGATTACTGGGTAGGAATTGAAGCCAATTCAACGTTTGTAACACGATTTAATGAGGTATTTTGCATGACAAATCAGCATTAATATCTTAAGTTCGTGACATCCCACTAAACCATAAGGAGCCGTAATTAAACAAAAGATAGCAAGACCACCACCTCATGCGCCAGTCCATGGCATACAGTTAACTGATGTGCATTGGGTGTCCTTGACATTGACGGTGATCAATGATTGCTCGATATCCAGTGACCCAACTGCCGGATAATTTTGCTAGGGCTCGTTGACATTTCACTGGCCCTACACACCAAGTCAGTGCTCAGGTTCGATTCTGAGAGACCTGTTGAGTTTCAAGTGTAGCTCTCATCAATATAGTTAGTATGCATCAGTCGGTGTCCGAAAGCACTGTTCTGCCAGAAGGCCGGCGGCATCACCGTCGTTTTTGTATGAGTCAATAGGACCTAGCAGTTGCGAAACTCTGGTTTTGACTTGCCAAAGAGCGGCTGCATGACAGAATGAGTCTTTTGGATTGGAGTTGAGGGTGAACTTCCCAGTCCACCTGCTGTAAATTGTTCTACAAAGCTGACACATTCAGCAGTTTGAAATCCCATCGCCTGTTATTGACAAGATGTATTAGCTCAGTTTCGCTGACAACGCTAAAG